TATATATAGTGACAAATAAATGTTTGGATAATTTTTCAAAAGAACAAACATTCAATAACAAGTCTTTTAAGGCAGGTAAGAATAAATTATTTTGGATATAAAAAATTCTGATTTCTTAACGTTTATTAATGGTACCATCGTGGTCTGTCCTGTGCAGGATGACAAAATGCAAAATTATTTCTTTTTTTTAATGCAAAATTATTTCTTTACTAAAACCTCTGTAACTTTGTTCCAGTTAATTTTAACAGCATGAATCTTTGCACAGGTGATGTCCACAAGTGGATTTATGGTTTCCAAGAGTTTTTAGCCTGATTCATTATGGTTTTAAATGGATTATACWGTCTAATGAAAAACTATTCAGGTGAGAGTGAAAAAAAAATTTGTATATGCTGAGATACACTCAATTACATTTCAGCATGTATTTTGAGCAAAAACTTCAAGAAAACCCCTTAACTTTACAAACTAATAATGAATTTTAGCCTTAATAATGTATATAAGAACTAAATGAGCAGAAACATGATATCACAGGCTGTAAGTTTTCAATAACACCCCCGCCCCCCCAAATGTCTGCTCTTCCTGCTTCAGTCAGCAGTGGGGTTGTAGCTCCGCCTTCTGGCTTTACTGAAGCTAACCATTTTCGTGACATGAATGCTTTAAACTGTGATCTATGAAGTGTTTTGAGTTGTGCTGACTTACATTTGTCACACTACACAAATTTAGGTTAATTTGATATCCATGCTGAAGTTAAGCTATTGACTTTAAGTCTAACACTGTTACGGAAAAGTCTGAGCCAAGGTGGGTAGAGAGGGAAACTGGGGGTAGGGCGTGCTCAAAGACACAACATGAGTGCTGCACATTGTTCTAGTTCACACATGATTGGCTGAATGTTAATGTTAAATATCAGAAGTTTAGCTTTAGCTTCTGCTAAATTTTTTAAAGGGTCTAGCTACAGCGGCAGCCACTGCAGGACACGCCCACTACAAAACACGCCCACTTTTGTTACGGTGACCGAGGAAGTAATCTTTCAATGCAAACAATGAGCATGGCAGTTAAAATGCTTACACAAGAGATAAAATGAAGGCTAAGGTTGGCATGAGCACCGCTTAAAAC